TTACATATTAACAGCTGGTTGTATGAGCAATCAGTTAACACCTATATTAGGCTTAAAATGTTTTAATACAGTCGAATTGAATAGGACTATTTAATTAGTTTACAAATTCATATATTACATTTCATAATTCAACAGTCTGCCATATTTTGTAGGCAGAAAATGCACTTGTTCCAGCGTCTCAAAATGAAATATTTGCATTTTTCCGTCCATATTTTTATGATAAATATCTGACTCGAGACTGTTGTACAAAGAGAGTGGCTGAGATACATTAATTTGGACGTTAATTTCAGCCTTTCTACATTTGCTTTTGGACAGTTTTGTTGTGGAAAAGTAGGCATTTATATAAAAAAACACCATATTTTTGGCTTTAGTGTGAGTTCAGATCCAGATATGCAGCAGCTGCTCTTCAGGTTTGCATGTTGTCAAAGTTTCTCCTTTCCTCTCCAGGACAGAGGAGTCTCTTCTTGGTGGTGTTTTCTCCCAGTATCTCCCTCTTCCTCTTCCTCCTCCGCCTCCTCCTCTTCCTCCTGACATTAGCTGGTATCTCTGAAAACAGACGTGAGCATTCCTGTCTGTGCTGTGTTTCCCTGACAAGGACAAGCTGGAGTAGATCCACAGAAAAAAAGAACAGGGCGTTACGATTGAATGTTCAGCTCTCACACACACGTGTCAGATACCAGGGCAAAAAATCCCCCCAAATATCTAAATCTGAGCGTCAGAGCGGAGTTTCAAATGTCAGAAATCAGCTATCGGATCCAGTAGAACAGACAAACAGATTGTGATATATTTATATATCTAGACAGGTTGGCATTTTGTTAAGAAAGTGCGTCGTCCATTCCTTTTTTAAGAACGTTTAAACCTTGGGATCCTTTTTGTTTTACGAGTATATCTTGGCACATTTTAAAACATCATATTAGAAGATAGAGAATGGAATAAAAGCATGGTAATGTATAAGAAGGCAGTGAAGAGTAACAAAAAATAGTTTAAAATATTCGTATCAAAGGTCAATATTGTCATGAATATACGACCAAAGCCAAAATCAATGGTGTAATGATTACAAATATTAGATTTGATTGAATTTAAGTGGAGTTATATTTGATAACACGTGTTAGATTCTCCCCCAATCTTCCCACCTTGTGACGTCCCGTTGATAATTAGTTCCCCAGCAGCTCGTTAGCCCAAACACTAGATTACAGCAAGGACAATAACTCCTCCCCTTTTCGCCTCAAATCCCCCCTTTGTAATCCCAGAGGAAATCTCCTCCGCAGCACAAGGTGCAGTGTGTTTGTGTTCATACTGGGAGGAGGAGGGGGCGGCAGATTCTTCCGTCAGTCTGGTGGGAGTAGTGGTCAGTGAAGTGCGTCTTTTTTCGGTGTTTTTGAAGCAGTCTGCTGTGGAGGAGTTGGTGTCTTTTCTTGCACACACACAAAGCCCAAGACATATTCGAGGTAGTTGGTAAGTTTCCATGTTTTCTTTGCATGGTTCTGCTCCATTTCACCTGATTTCATTAAGAAACAAGTTGGTTTAAAGTCGTTTTTATCAACCTGGTTATAGTACAGATCAGCCTTATTAAGGTATTTATACTTACAAGCTAAAATACTCTGTCTGCAGACACATTTTAATAAAATAAGGTTTTGTTATATGTTATGTTATTTGTTGAACATCTCAAACTGTTAATGAATCATGGGCAGAAATACCTTTTTTAAAAGTCTGAGATTTGTACAGATTATTAGCTTTTCCAAACAATTCAGCTTTTTGGTATTTCACAGTCACTTCAGTTATCCATTAAATCTAAAATATGTACGAAATTGTAAAATAAATACCTATTACAACTTTTTAAAACCCTGATATTCGCATGTTAATGATATCAAACGGATAAAGCAGGAAATGCTCATATCTGAGAAGCCTAGACCAGAGAATATGTGGCGTTTCTGCTTGATAAATTGCTTAAAATGATCAGAAGTTTTGTAGATTTTAGTCCTACATGGTTCGGATCGTGTAGACGTAGATAATACAGATGTTACACCAGAATGTGTGGTGTTTTAAGGGGAAAAACTGGACTAATTTAACATCAAAACTCTCCTCATTCCTCCACTACAAGTCCAACATACTCAAGTCCTTCCCATAGGCATTAAAGCATCCTTTCTTAGCTAAGTTCTGTATGTTATGACTTCAGCGTCATGGTGTTTGAGTGGTAAACTGCGTCAGCTTCATGTTTAGTCTTTCCTTTGAATGACCTCGTATATCTTTGGAGAGAGCGACGGCGTCTCCTCCCCTGAGGAATATCTGTATCCCCCGGACAATAGACCCTCAGCGCTTTAGAAACAGTGACATTTGCATTTCCATTGTGCTGGAGGCAGTGCTACTCTCACTTTGTGTGTCACTTTGAGCCGAGGGAAGGTTTTCAAATTGGAGTAATAGTTTGGGATGTTTGCGATTGAACACAATCATCATGAAAGTCCTCAAAACTATCGTAGAATTTTCCTACATTTCCTACATTTCCCTTCTATCAGAAAGCTCTCATCTGGCTCTTAATGAGAACCAGAAACTTTGTGAATACAGTTGTATCCAGCTGAAGTTACTGTTATGCAAACTAATCTAATCTAACTCAGTCAAATGGAGTTTGGAAAACAAACTTGACCTCCAAAATAGGAACTCAGGCTTAGAATAGAAGCTGATTTTTTCACTTAGGTATGTTTATTTATGTAAATGCATAGACAAAAGATTTAGGATTCATTAAAGGGAAAATGATACTTGTTTACACCTTCAATTAACAGCTGAGCATTCAAACAACCTCTCCAAAGTAAATCCTGAACAAAACAGTTACTCAGGTTTAAAAGAAGTATTTAGTTTGAGTTAAAAATCCTCTGCAAATCACTGAGTTTTGACCTTTTGATTTCTCTCTTTGCTATCTACTTGTAGGTGTTATCTTCATTTAACAACTTGACAGGATTAGAACACAACATCTGTTCTGTTCCTTGATAATACGTAACAAACCAGAGACGATAAAGAAACCAGAAACAGGTGAAGGTTTAGTTCAGAAAGAAGGCGTCTGCTGGGCGAGGGCTAACGGAGCGATGGTTTCCCCTGCCTGCATTCCTCTGCAGAAAGAATGCATCGTGACCTGCTGGGGTCAAAGCTTCAATCAGAGCGACAGAAATCTCGTCCGGCTGAGATATTTCACATCGGTCTGCCATGAATGAACTTGGGAAGCTAAATATATATAAAAAAGACTTGCAAAACACTCATTTATCCAATCCAACTTTATTTATATAGCATATTTAAAAAGAACAGAGTTGACCAAAGTGCTATACATATATAAAAAACAGAATAAATACATTTAGACAAAACCGATAGCACAATTAAATATAGTAAAAATCACATTAAAGGTCACCTATTAGGCTATTTTAGGCAATAGCATAGGTCTCAGATATATAAAAATATATAAAAAACATGTCTATGAAGTGTTTTGCTCAAAATACCAAACAGATCATTCTAGCCATGCCTCATATCCCTCTATTTCACTTCCTGTTTCAAAAGTGCTGATTTGGGGTATAACGCTTTAAAAAAGGAGGGGTCTGAGCTCATGCGGGACCCGGCAGCTACTGTCTAAACTAAATGCTGCCGTGATGAAACGCCATATCATGGATTATCAAGGATTATCTCTGAAACAGTATGGAGCTCAAAGGCTTTCTCTCTTGCCGGTTATACCACAAGGTGAGTTCCTTTTTATTTCCTGCTTCTTCACACACATGCTCTCCAGTACAGGTTAGCTCTGAGTGTTAGCGATGCTAATGTAAACACCGACCATATTACGTCCAAAACAGTCGGGCATTGTTTCTGATAGCAACGTTTCTGATAGGGCCGTGGGTCCACATTTCAGATATTACGTCATATCGGACGCAAATCTGGATCAGCTCCGTTGTTCCCCCGTTTTTAGAGATTTGGGTACGGAGGAAAAGAGAGAGGGTTTTATTTTCTGACGCTGCGTGAGTTCCCAGACACACCGGGGACACATGTTGATGTAGAGAAGACATAAAAAAAGTGCATTTTGCATGATAGGTCCCCTTTAAAATCAAGAAATAAAACAACAATCACACATTAAAAGCATGAGACAATAAAACCATGCGTATAGCCACAGACTGAAAAACTCTCTCACAGGATGTTAAATCATTTTAAAACACAACAAAATTGAAAATGTAAAAAACACAGACTGATACGTCTTATATACGTGGTCTGTAAGCTGCCCATTAAATGGTGGGGGACAGGGGGATGGTGGTTGTTGAGGGTTAACCTGTGAATCCGACTCATTTTTCTAAGCAGCTAAACTCCATCTGGCCATATGGCAGATCTGTCTCCCTCTGCTGTTGTGAAAGCCCTTCACAATAAGAGCAGGGTCAGAGCATACATGGAGTTTCTTTCCAAAGTGTGCTCATGATTCGGTCTGTGCATAAAACCACAGCTTGTGCTTATGAGGCCGCTGTGATTAAATGCAATTTGAATGGAGTTTGCTCTTACCTTGATGAGTTGTTTATTGGGTGCAGCTTTCTAACTTGCATTATAGTTGTGGGAACACTCAGACTCTGGTTTCCATTTGCTCTTTAGAAATAAGAAAGTATGTGTTCTTTCTCAACATTTGACGTCTTCTACCCCTCTTTCCGGTTTCTCCTTCCTTCCTTCCCTCGCTGCCCATCAGGGCTAAAATGGTTGATGTAGTGTCCCCGCGCACAGTGCCGTCAGAAAGCGATGTTAACGTGGCGAGGAGCTTTCTCACCAAGATTTTGCGAAGCTCTATGAGGTACAATGGGTCAGCCACGTTGTGTTTGCTGGTAGTGAACATCAGTGATCTCTCATGTGTTGTAAGTGTGGTGCTAGTTGTCCATCCATTCGTGTTTTATTTTGGTCCTGAATTTGTTTTCCAGTGGTGTTCAGCTTCCCCTTTGTTGGTTTTGTCAGTATTTATTATATGTAATTCTTTTTTTTTCCAACATGCTCTCCAGGAAAAGCCGCTTCAAAGGGTATGTGCGTACAGTATGTTATCAGTTAGCTTTCTAGGCTTCTTACCAAGGTGTCTGCTAGGGCTGTGCGATTATGGCAAAAATCATAATCACGATTATTTGGGTCAATAATTGATATCACGATTATTAAATACGATTATTCATTGACTTTGAAAAAATCCATTTATTGAACTTTAAAACAAATACAAATAATAATTTGAACAGTATCTTTTTAACTGTTGATTACCCTGAACGTATAATTCAACTGAAAAACCAATACAAAAATAAATAAAATAAATAATACATTTAAATAAATAATATCAAAATAATAAATACCAATAAACAAGATCAACAAATATTTTGGCTACTAAACATATATAAATATGATAAATACAAATAAATGAGACCAAAATTAATTAGATCAAATATGTCACAACCAAGCAAAGCTAAATAATTGTTTTTTTCGATTATGTTGTTTTCGTAATTGTGGCAGGCCAAAATCGTAATTGCGATTAAAATACGATTAATTGCACAGCCCTAGTGTCTGCATGATATCACAACACACGGATGAGAAATTACTGCATTTCTGAGCAAAAAGACTTAGACATTTTTATATATGACAGCCCTACTGCCAAACTAGAAACCCAAAGCATCCATGTTGAGAGGCTTCAGAATATTATTGTGTAGTAATACTTAAAGAGAGTAGTACATGCATATTTGATATCTTTATTTAGGCCAATATTTTTGCAATTGGGGTCTTTGTTGAAAGACTTTCCACCGATAAATATTGTGAGGTATCTTGCTCTAAAGATTTTATCTGAGATTAACCGCAGACTTGTTGCTTGAGAAGGAATATTTACACAACACTCCTTCCCCAAGTGATGGAGGAGATTAATGGGGATGCCAGAAAAAAACCATTGCAGCTGAAATGTCAAACACTCCCTGGTCTAAAATGTTTTCTTGCCTCTTTGCCTGTTTTGTTGCCTCAGGAAGAATGATCCCGGCTCGCGCCCCCAGTCCTGGCACTCGTCCAAGCTGACAGACGTGGAGCCGCAGCCCGTCTGGCACTCAAAACATGAAGCAAGGTGAGACAGATGGTTTCTGTATTGGCTTGTTTGTGAGTTAAACTGGGCCGAAGCTCAGTCTAGCTTAGGGACAAGAGTACACACGTCCTTTACTGAAGTAGAAGTACAGATACTCGTGTTTAAAAATACTCTGGTGAAAGTAGAAGTACTGACTAAACTTCTTTACTCAAGTGAAAGTAAAGAGGGCTTTGAAATGTACTTCAGTAAAAAGTACCCATAACTAGCAGCTGTTTTAAAGAGTACCTGACCTCCCTTTATATTAATAGAACAATAATGTCATTGTTAGCTAATGAATGTTTCCATGCTGAACAACGGCAACATGACAACGTTTTCATTGGTCCCTCTTCTTTAGAGAAGACCAGGAAATGATGGATACACGGATCGTGTTCAAATCAATAGGCACGCAATGACTCTAAATAATAATGATCACGCCACCAAACACACATTCAAACTAAAGGAACCAGCCTGTTTGGGAAATGTGAGAAGTAGAAAGTACAGGTATTTGAGTTCAACATGTAAGAAGTAGAAAGTACAGGTATTTGTGTTCAACATGTGAGAAGTAGAAAGTACAGGTATTTGTGTTCAACATGTAAGAAGTAGAAAGTACAGGTATTTGTGTTCAACATGTAAGAAGTAGAAAGTACAGGTATTTGGGTTCAACATGTAAGAAGTAGAAAGTACAGGTATTTGGGTTCAACATGTAAGAAGTAGAAAGTACAGGTATTTGGGTTCAACATGTAAGAAGTAGAAAGTACAGGTATTTGTGTTCAACATGTAAGAAGTAGAAAGTACAGGTATTTGTGTTCAACATGTGAGAAGTAGAAAGTACAGGTATTTGGGTTCAAAATGTAAGAAGTAGAAAGTACAGGTATTTGTGTTCAACATGTAAGAAGTAGAAAGTACAGGTATTTGTGTTCAACATGTAAGAAGTAGAAAGTAAAAAGTGGTCAGAAAAATAAGTAGTGGAGTAAAGTACTGATACTTCCCACCTCTGCACATCACAAACATCTCAAGTAGAAACAAAAGCCAACGTAAAAAGGTCTTCAGTTGTTAAGAATTTGCTTATGTTTCACACCAGGCCCAAAGAGTCGTCCACTATAGTGAACAGCATGGAGCGTCCCTCTCTCCCTCCTCCTCCTCCTGCAGGACGTCTTTCCCCGCCTAAACACAGCGCCGAGTCGCTCTGTGGCCCGGGAAGCAAAAAAGACTCTGGCTTCAGCTGCTTCTCCAGCAACCCCAGCCCTCCGTTTAACGACCCCGGCACATCTGAGAGGAAGGGTACCACCAGCACGGAGAACATTTTCTTTAAGGGCCCTCTGAGTGAAAGGCCTCCACCACGATACCTGCAGCCCACACTGGGGAACGGAGGATGGGAGGGGTCGAGAGGCGAGGAAACACCTTCCTCTCGGGTCTCCGTCGCTATGAGACCCAACATGGGCCCCGTGTGGCAGGTACCAGAGAAGAAGAAGTCCCAGTCTCCTCCCCCTCCTCCTCCCCCTCCTCCTCTGCGCAGCGACAGTTTTGCAGCCACGAAGGTGTTTCCTTACTCAGAAGCAAAGACCCACGGCAGGTCGTTTGAGAAACTGACAGAGAATAACAACCAGAATGGCCTCAGATCCCACCAGGAGAAAACCACTGAGGCCAGACGTAGCTTAAACCCCCTCCCCACCAAAGACTTCATCCACCCTAAAACAGCATCTGACCACAACCACAACCAGCTGCACCCCGACAAACTCTTCTCCCTGTCCAGTAATGATGTCAGGCAGTCTCACTACACCCAAATACCTGCCCACCAGAGGCAATACAGCGACGAAAGCCCGCTCTCCCTGCAGAACAGGTCAGCTCCTCCCACTAAGATTCAGAGCGTAGGAAGTTATTATCGCAGCCTTCAAGATCTTCCAACGAGAGCTTTCAGCCGCAAACACGTCCGGCACTCCACAGCATCCGTGGCGAACCCGAACCTGGAGAACGGGTGGAGAAACAGATACTACGGCCTGGCAAACAAGCATCCTGTTCAGAGTGCTGAGCTGCAGGCGAGGCAGGGGAAGGCCGAGGGCTGGAGGGGGGAGACGGAGCGACCCCACAGGGGGAACAGCTGTGAGCCAGGCTTCCTAGGGTCAAACATTAAAGCTAAATACACTCTACCTCAGTCCCAGCTGCCTTACAGCGGCAGTCATTCCCATCAGGGAGAACTCTCCGTTACAAGCCGCAGCTTAGAGGACGCTGCAAAGAGAGGTGATGCAAATGACACTAAAAGATACTTCCCGACTCATCAAAGTAATGATCATAAGACCAGGCATCAAGACCCGTGGGTGCCTCAGGAAGATCACAGAATATCCCCCCTGAAAACGCCTCTCCTACACTCCCTGGCCCAGGAGGGCAGAAGTCTGACGGCGAGGCAACCATCCGCTCAGCCGCAGGAGGCAGGCGACAACATGGCGTCCAGCGGTGGAAAGTGTATCCGCCGCAGCGACCGCTACGCCACCGTCCTCCGAAATGAGATCCAGCAGAAGCGAGCCCAGCTGCAGAAGAGCCGCAGCGCTGCAACGCTGACATGTGAAGCCGAGGATGATGAGGAGGCGGAGGAGTGGAGATCCACGGAGACTTCTACGTCTTCTGGGGTCTCAAACACCTACAAGGACCACCTGAAGGAGGCGCAGGCGAGGGTCCTGCAGGCGACTTCCTTCCAGAGGAGAGACCTGGAGCCTCTCGGACCAGAAGCGACGGTGGTTAAAACCTCAAACGGACGCATCAGAGGACGCAAGCGCTTCCCCCTGGCCAAAAGGATGCACTCCTTCTCAGAGCCTGACAAGATAGACAAACTGGGAGTGGGAGGAGAAGCTCAAACGGGGTCTTTCGGAGACAGGAAGAAGTTATTTGAGGCCAAACCGGCGTTTTCCAGGCCTGTACTGAAATCCAGTCAGGGTTCAAACCTGAACACGGACCTTGGTGAGAAACAGAACGAGAGATCTGGAGAGTCGGAGGATGCTCTCATATCCACAGAGCTGGAACACCTCAGCCCTGGAGATACGCAGGTCTTACTGGAGCAGCAGAGGCTGGGGACCTTCGCTGAGTACCAGGCAACGTGGAGCAAACAGAAGAAGTCCTCGGAGGCCAAGACGCAGGGCAGGTATCACTCAGCGGAGAACATCCTGGATACAGAAGCAGAGGAGAAGCCCGTGTGCATCCACGAGAGGTCCAGATCTTCTCCCTCTGCAGACTTCTACACACAGGTGAGCAGCCAAGAATGTAGACGGCATAACAGTATAACTTAATCTAATAGGGCTGGATGTTATCAAATGGATGCAAAAGAAAGCAATTTACCTTTTTGTTGCAGAATATTCCTTCACCATGGATCGACCCTCCCAGCCAGCAGAGCAGTAACAGGTGAGATTATATTATAATTAAATATTAAAGACATCAATATAAGTATTAGGAGATAAAACAAACGGGTGAAATGGACAGTAGGATAAACAAATAAGCAATTAATTAACCTTACTGTTTTCTTTATATGCTCAGTAAGTGTTTGCGTAAAGCTTTCAGTCATGGGCGTAGGAAGCATCCTCAATGTGGGTGGGACAATTTGACGGCGGTGTGGGCAGGTGGTGGACCTAACATCCTCTTAAGACCCAGAATAACTTTTAATGCTGTATCCTATTCTTTTCAATGGCTTTATTGTATGATATGACAGATGAACAGATCGCCACTGGGCTTACAACTAAAGACACAGCTACGCAAAACACGCAGCATGTGTACGGCTCTGAGAATCTGCCTTGGTACAAAGTAGCAGTGAAAACATGGTACGGAGTTTAATTGATTTGGGCATTCTCACAATAAGCAAGTGGAATGGATTTGATAATGAAGCACTGACACATCGCTCTACAAAGAGCGGCGAGTGGATAGACCGATGCACGGACTTTCCACATGGTAAAAGTGGGGGGGGACTTGTCCCACCCTCATATAATGGCTGCAATGCACATGCTTTCAGTATATTAACCCAATTTCTGGCAGGATTTCTCCGTCCATTTCCCTTCAAATATGCCAAAAGAATGCATGCAAAGTTTCCTGTTAATGTGTTTTAGTGGTGAGATTGTAGGGACAGAACACGCCTCAGATTCCTATAAGAAAAATATAGTTTTCTGTCATCCTAGATCTAAGAGTCACGTTGAGGTGAGAAGTATCTTCAGTCGTAACCTACGCCCAGATTAACAAAAGGGTCTTGTCTAAGTACAGGTGATTTATGACGGGTGGAGAGTGTATTATTTTATCCTTAAATACAGATCCTGTGTTTGTTTTTCACACCCGAGGCTCAGGTTTCTTAAACCGTAAGACACACTCGCTGTAAACAGGCTACACAACTTTAACCCCTCTAAACCTGCAGGTCAACAGGGAGGGATGTGGGACAAATAAACCAATCAAACATGTTTGTGAAGTAAACATGTTTGTGAAGTAAACACGCATGTGAAGTAAACACGCATGTGAAGTAAACACGCATGTGCATCAACCACGTAAACATCTTCTTAAACTTTAGCCTTACTTTCCAAAGGAGGAGCTATTGAATTCAAAAGCATGCTCAAAGAAACGCAGAATAAATGTCATATTTTGTATTTCATTTTTTAGATAAACCACTAGAATTACAGCCTTGGTGCAACTCACTCTCACACTCACTCACTCACTCACTCACACACACACACACACACACTCTCACACACTCTCACTCACCCACACACTCACT